GTTCAGGCACCCTCTCCTCTGCTGTCCAAGGACCTAGCTGGGGACATCCCTGTGGACACCTAGGATCCCCAATAGAGCCAAGTCTCTTGCCAACCCTAAAATGGATCCCTTAATGTAATCCCTTCTTCCCTGCTCCTATATCTGCCCTTCCTTCATCTCCACCCTCCCACTCCCCCAAGCTCTTGCCAGTCCTTCCCTTCTCCCTTCTCTCTCTCCTTCTCTTCTTCCCCCAACCTTACCCCCACCCCTACCTCCACCCCCATGCTCACAACTTTTGCCCGGCAATCTTGTTTGCTTCCAATTTCCAGGAGGATGTATATATGTTTTTCTTCGGGTTTACCTTGTTATTTGGCTTCTCTGGGCTTGTGAATTATAGGCTTAATGTTCTTGGTTTATGGCTAGAGTCCACAAATGAGTGAGTACATACCACATTCATCTTTTTGGGTCTTGGATATCTCACTCAAGATAGTGTTTTCTATTTCCATCCATTTGCATGCAAAATTCAAGATGTCATTGTTTTTTACTGCTGTGTAGTACTCTAATATGTATATATTCCACATTTTCTTTATCCATTCTTCCATTGTGGAGCATCTAGGTTGTCTCCAGGTTCTGGCTATTACAAATAATGCAGCTATGAACATAGTTGAACAAATGCTTTTGCAGTATGATTGGACATCTCTTGGGTATATTCCCAAGAGTGGTATTGCTGGATCCTGAGGAAGGTTGATTCCTAATTTCCTGAGAAACCGCCACACTGATTTCCAAAGTGGTTGCACAAGTTTGCGTTTCCACCAGCAATGGATGAGTGTTTCCCTTATTCCATATCCTCTCCAGCAAAGGCTATCATTGGTGTTTTCGATTTTAGCCATTCTGACAGGTGTAAGAAGGTATATCAAAGTTGTTTTGATTTGCATTTCCCTGATCGCTAAGGAGGTTGAACATGACCTTAAGAGTCTCTTGGCCATTTGAACTTCTTCTGTTGAGAATTCTCTGTTCAGTTTAGTGCCCCATTTTTTAATTGAGTTAATTGGAATTTTAAAGTCTAGTTTCTTGAGTTCTTTATATATTTTGGAGATCAGACCTTTGTCTGATGCAGGGTTGGTGAAGATCTTCTCCCATTCAGTAGGATGCCTTTTGCTGGAGTATGTTTTAACAGTAAGTTTTTTCATTGACAGGCGACATGGTTAGCACTAGTGTGTGGTCAGTAATCCTTCTTCATAGATGGGGGAAGGCGCGGCTAGCTGGGCCCACTGCAGTCTGTCTCCTGGGGGAGGTCTGCAGCCTGGACATCTGCCTTATGGGAGGAACTCCTGAGTAGAAGCTCAGCTAACAGGGCTGTCTGACTTCAGAAGCATAGATAAAACACCAGACAATGGAAGATATTTGAGTCTTTAATCCACACCTGATAGAGTAGGAAATCAAGAAAACCACAACTTTCTATGCTCCTTTCTCTTTTAGAATAATAAGCAGTCTAGACCAGGGCTAAGCACAGCTGCAGACTTGACTCTTCCCCTTGCTGGGCAGCTGAACTTGACTGCTCAAGGTTTTATATGCGCTGACATAGGGGAGGGTGGGGCAAGGGTTTGCAAGGGGAAGTTGTTGGGGTCCCCATCATCTTCTCTGTGAGGGGGGCTGGTCACTGAAACTCTCACAACGAACTCTACAATCTGACAGGGCTGCAGAGAAGTTAAAGCAGAGGCATACACTTCTTGTCGTACCTTATAGCCATGAGGGGCTGGGCTGTGGGGCTGAGTTAGGTGTCCTGGACAACTGCTTTCTAAGGTTCCTGGCTGGGCAGGACTTGGGTCTGGTAGGGGCAAGAGGCAATGCTGTGGGGTAGAGAGCTAGGTACTGTGGAGGGATGGTTCCCAGGAGCTCCTGACTGGACAAGACTTTGGTCTTATAAGGATGAGGGCCATGTTGTGGAATCCTGGGGGGCTTTACTTTCCTCTAGTCTACTTCTCCCACGCCACCTTGCTTTATAGTGTGGGTTTCTGAGGGCTCTCATAATTGGACCCTCTTTGTCTCCCTGGGCTCCCCATGTCTGACCAGCCCCCTGAGCTTCTGGCATCTTTTCGGACCACTGAGCAGAGCATGCATGTAATTACATTCCAGCTATATTTTCTGCAGCCATAGGGAAACGAGCATAAATGAACCCTTGGGTGGAGATGAGGGCAGGAAGGACCCTGAGTAAAAAACATTCAAATAGGTCTTAAAGCATATCAGAATATTAAAAAAATGTTCTTCTTAGCCGACTTTATATCCCAAAAGCACTGATAGTGTTTTGGCTCCTGGCACTGTTTTATGGTGACTGGAAGATAGCAGTATGTTGGTTCAGCTGTTTACACGTGGCTACTTCTAATAGGGAATACCTGTGATGAGGCTGGGGAGGCCAATATGGCACACTTATGCAGTACTCCATTCTCTGGGTGTCCTGATTTATTGGATATTGTAAGGTACGTGAGGGTGAGGCTGTTGATTCTGTGACTCATTACGATAGAAGCAAACATACAGGGGGGATTGCGACACATTCCCTTATCAGTCAGACCGTGGTATCAGGGAGCTGCTACCAGACAGAAGGGCAGAAAGGCAGATCACAAGCCTTGCTCTGTTTCACTAGTTGTCCGTGGTGTGCTCCTGCTATGAAGGCGGTACGTTCTTGATAACACTGATTTCAAATGTGTGTATAACAACCCTGGGAGTCTACCACACACAGAGCAGACACAGATACAGGATACAGATGACATGGAACCCATGCAAGGCTGTGAGCAGCCAGGATGCTCACTGGCTTGGTGGGAAAGGCAGCAGGAAAAAGACCTGGAGAGAAGCCCAGGCTGGAGAGGTACCTCAGTGCACAAAGGACTTATCCCACTCACTAGCTAAGGATCAGATTTTGATCCTCAGAATCCCCAGAAACTGGACATGGAAGCATGTGCCCGTAACCCCAGCACTCCTACAGTGATGTGCGAGCTGGAGACAGGACACCCTCTGGGAGCTCCTGGGTCATCCACCTGCCATACGCAATGGCAAACAAGAGGCTCTATCTCAAACACGGTAGAAATAAAGGGCTGGTACCCAAGGCTGTCTTCTGACCTCTGAGTGTGTCATGTCACATGCCTGCCTGTGCTTACACACATCATGCGTGGAAACAACCAAGGTGTCGTCATTCCGTAGGTGAGCGGAAAGTAAATTGTGGCACATCCTTATAATGTACTATTACTCAATGATAAATAAAGTGCCATTGAGTCATACCAAAGACAGGAAGCGAACTGCAAAGCAGGTTGCTGAGTGGAAGAAAGCAACTGAACAGGCTGCAAGTGATGCCTGCCATTACACGGTGTTCTGTAAAAGGCCACACTGTGATGCTTTGGGATCAGGGGTCGGGTGTAGGTGCAGACAGAAGTGGCAGGGTGGAGTAGGTGGGACTTTCCTGTTATGAAATTCTTGTATGGGATGCTGTGTGGACACATCCTACATCTGTCAGAATTCACAAGACATACCCAGGAAGGAGGCCCTGGGAGGGATGCTGGCCTTTAGTTAACAGTGTGTCGATATGAGCTCATGGTTGGTGACACGCAGCACCCTGGGGAAGGTGGTAATGACAAGGGAATTGCCGCCGGCAGTATGGGAGCTCTGTAGCCACTGCCTAGTTGCTCTGTAAGTCTAATTTTAAAGGACAGTGTGTGTCCCTCTTAGGGAATTTGTAAATATGGAAAGACAGGGAGAGAAAATCAACCAAGAGTCTGCCACTTCGGCACACTCACAGTCTGGAGTGCATTTTTAAAAAACATCTGACTTTATGATATCCAGTACTTTCCTAGATGCCTTCAGATTTCTCTTTCCCTTATGGACGTCCTCCTGAGGTTCAGATTCAGCACTCTGTCTCTGAGTGTATCCAGAACTCTGCCCCATCCCCTGACTGTTCCTATAAAAAAGGCAGCCAGTGTGGAACCATGGCAGGAACACTGAGCAGACCTCCCGGGCACCTGACCTCCCACAAACCTGCAGCATCCTCCATACACTGGTGGTGTCTACCTGCCTAGCCCGATGTCCTCAGCCAACCCTATCTCCTCACCACCCAGCATCCCACCCCATCCACACTGCTCTGCTGCTCTCTGCTTCCCAATTTCCTCGAAGCTCCCGTATCTCATGGAGTAGCATCTGCCCCAGAACTCTTGTACTTGCTGGTCCTTCTTCCCAGTGCCAGGATGCCTCATTCTCCCATTCTAGAATGATTGGGCTCATGTGTCCTCATCCCAATAAAGGTCAACCTGCAGAAATTTGAGACACAATCATCACTTCTTTATCCCCCTTGACTTAAATCCATCAATCTATATCATAAAACCAACAGATGAGAAGTGTGTCGATGATGTGCTTCCTTCTGGAAAGTTCTCCGGAAAACAGGCCTTCTACCTGCCCATTGCCCAGCCCCTTGTCAGTCCCCAAAGACAACTGGTTGTGAGTGTAAGGTAGATCTTTAGAAGTGAGTTTGCAGCCTGGGTTACTTACTCTCTGTAGCCTTGGCATCCTTCCTGTATTCTGCATTTGGAGCATCTGAGAGACTGCGTGGGTGATGGTTTCTCCACGTGTGCTCAGCATCCTGAGTCCCAGCACTTTGGAAACCCTCCCTCCCTGGCCTACACCCACCCCTTCCTGCAAAACCTCCCCACCTTGATTCTTTCAGTGCCCTCCCTCCACCAGGCTGGGCTTCAGCACAGTCTTCGTGGTCGCTTCAAATGACCTACACACATGTGTACCACAGTGGCACTATTTCCCCTTACCATGTGCATGTCCTGGGATCCTTCTGGTGACTTCAGAATGGTGGTGCTCTCAGCATCACACGGTGAAGCACATATGCTGAGGACAAGATTCACTCTGGGGACAGTGCTAACCGGTACAGGATGTCATTGAAGGGGGCGGTGCTAGTCTTACATCTTGAGGGGGCTGTTATCTGAAATGGATGTTTGACACATGTACTGACCCTGGTCTCTCTCCCACAGGTGGTTGCCATAACAGCCTTAAGCCAATCAGCAGTGGTCCCACCATCACCATCACTGCCGCCGCCGCTGCTGCCGCAGCTGCTGCCATGGTCTCCGTGGACCCTGAGGAACTCCGGGGCCTCTCACCCTCCATTGTGCAGCCCTGCCATTTCCTGACATTGACTCCCATCAGAATCCCCCTCCGGACCGCCCCCTTCTCAGGTAGGAACCAGCACACCGTCTGGAAAGGTCATGAATTGTTCCCAGAATCCAACTTAGGGAAGCAGGGTTAGCTGAGCCCACGAGCTCAGTGTCTTTGGTCACTGGTTTCCTGTGCCTGGGCACATGATATGAATTGTTGGAAGTCAGATCCAGCAGAGGCATCCAGCTGGGGTTTTGTGGGGTCTGCTTGGTGGTGAACTATATTCATGCACATGGACTCCATGGATCAAGGCTTGGCTGTGCCACATGGCTTGTGGTATGTGCATGTGAAGAGTCAAGACCCCTTACAACTCATGTAGGTACTGAAGGACCCCAAGACCTCGGTCATCTCCTTGTGTGCCGCATGTCAGAGAGAAAGGGTGGCTCACCCAAGACGCATCACCTGACCTAGATAGTGATATCCCATTGCTGAACTGCACATGGCTCTCTCTAGCCCTGCATGGGATTGGAGATAGCTTCTCGGGGCATGTGGAAAATCCTGCCCGCCAGGCAGGGGTGGGGGATAAGAGACATAATGTCCCCTGAGCCATCGGTGCTCAGGGTGCTGGGCCTTTTTGAAGAATTGGAGAGGGTGAACTTGAGGCTTCTCAGCATCCCGAGGTGCAGAGATTCAGAGATGTGTGCTCCTGAGTTGTGGAATGGGTTCCAGACTGGCCACATTTCTGGCTGCTGTCCACATGATGTGCTTACCGCTCTCTGTATTGCGCTTGTCGACTGGTGTCAATGTGCCCCATGTCCCTGTGCAGTGCTGGTTTCTTCAAACGTGATAGTAATATCACCTTGGAATCTTCCATCCCAGAGTTTTGGTTGCTTTAGTGAGCTGGTCCTGTGCTGTGGTATAGCTTGCACAGAAAGTCTGCAGGAGGCAGGCAGCTACGTGCTGAGCATCCTGCATCAACAAATCCAAAGGCAGCACTCTCAGCACTGATTAGATGCCACAGGTGGGAAAATTCTGCTCTGGAAAACTTTACTTATTCATGAAATTATTAAAAAAACATATAAAATAAACGTAAACCGGTGTATACATTATAGAAAATGAATAAATTCACATTTAGACTTGATGTCTTTATGTATATGTAAATATTTCAAAATCTTGCAAAAGTCGAATACAGCTTGCATCCAAAGCACTTTGGATAAGGGGTGTTTAGCCATGTCATTAATAGCTGCATGCCCAGCAACAGGAAACTGCCACTAGATAAGACACGTGCCCATGCACACACATATGTATAGGCATATGCAATGCACATATATGCACATACAATGCATTTGCATACATGCATGCACATGCTCACGCATAAGCACATTCAAACACATATATACAAGGCAAAGATAAATATCCCGTGTTCCAGTTTTTTAGTGTGCCCTCCGTGATTGATTTTCTTTCTGGGGAATCTAATGTGGTCCTTTTCAACTGGACCTTTGATCTCTGTGTTCCTCTACCAGCCTCAAGGGTTAACTGTGACGGTAGACTGTACTGCCCAGGATGAAATCTGTGTTCCATTGCATTGTTTAAGATGTGATGGGAACAAGCCCTCGGGCAATCTGCGTTTGAAGCCCACATTCCTGCTGTGTGAAGCTGTGGGCTAAAACCCCTCAATCCCCTGATCCACTGATGCTTATGAAAATTTATCTTAGAACCAGACACTGTACTGCCGGCTGGCTTCCCATTCCAGGTTTAGTGAAATCCGGGGGTGGCCAAGACAGGGCTTCTTTGGGAGGTGTGGCCACCTGGTTGAGTTGGACTGGGTCTCTTCTCTAGCTGGTTGCAGAAAGTCATTGAGAGGTGTGGGTATACTTCTGGTGAAAGCTACATCAAGTGTCCCTTGAGCTTCTAAAGGGAGCTGGAAGGATGTCCAGCTTGTCATTGTTCTGGTTAGTTTTATGTAAACTCGACAGACACCCAGGTCATTTTGGAAGAGGGAACCTCCACTGAGAAAATGTCCCCACCAGATCGGCCTATGGGAAACCCTGCGGGACATTTTCTTGAGTCATGATTAGTGTTGGAGTTCTCAGTTTGCTGTAGGCAGTGCTATGTATGAGCTGCTGGTCTTAAATGTCACAGGAAAGCAGGCTAGCTAGCCGGTATGCAGCACCCTTCCGTGGTCTCAGTTCCCACCCCTATTCCTTCAATGATAAACCATAACCTGGGAGTTGAAAGCTGGAATAAACCTTTTCCTCTCCAGGTCACTTTTGGTCACGGTGTTTTTATCACAGCCACAGACACTCTAACTAAAACACCCATCAAGCAGCAGGCCTGTTTTGAAGGCACCCTTAGGAGTCCATGGAATGAGTGAAGGAGCAGACTCTTTAGAGAACTAGTTTGCCTGGAAATTCCTGACACCCTGCAACTGATGAGCCAGGCTGGGATCAGGAGGAAGACAGATTCCTTAGTGACTTGGTGTGGCGGGAACCGGAGAAGTCAGGCTTAGATGGACAGAGAAGGCAGGCCTGATGCAGCCCGTCCCTCATGCCAGCTTATCTGAAGCCTGTGGTCCTTGTTGTCTCTGCAGCGAGCAAACTGTTCGTAATGGAAGGGCAATTCCCATTTCAGATGATGAGCCTGACTGTTGCTTGATGTAAAAAAGCCAGATGCCTCAGAGGCTTCATACAGTTCGGGTTAATGAGGCTCAACTGAGGACAATTTTGCCTCTTAGGGATATCCACACAACTACTGGAGATGGATTTTAGATATGTCAGCATGTGGAGAGGCTGGGTCCTGCAGTCTTCATCTGCCCCGAGTTCTGTCTCCATGGAAAAACCTCTGGTGTAAATTAGAATACCACTTAACAAACTGTGCGATCTTGTGCTAGGGCAGCGTGGATAAGCTCAGCTGGACAAGGAAGACAGTGTGATGGTTTTTTTTTTTTTTTGTGTGTGTGTGATGTGTTTGTGTTTGTGTGTGTGTGTTCTGTTAGCTGAAGCCCCAGAGGGAAGTATCTTTGTGGAGAGAACGTTGACAAAGGATTTACACTAGGCCTGCAGCCCTTGTGTGTGCCTGTGTAGTTCTCAACCCATGCTCAAAGAGCCAGGGCCAGCTCCAAGCTCAGTTCTAATGGGGTTGTCTCCTTCTGTGTGTAATGTGCACAGCCAAAGCTTGTGGTTGCTCTCCATAGGCTAGATACCTGTGGAACTTGTCCCTTTTCTGGACTGTGTGTCCACCATCAGAAAACTGTGTCCTCCTTTCCTGTACCCCTCCCTCCGTGAACAACAGGCTGTGGATCTATGGACCCAGTGACATCCCTGATCCAGCACCCTGCTGGGTCCTTGTTGGGTTAGGAAGAGCTGTTCTGTCCTTTGTGGCATCTAGAGCTGTTGGTTGCCTACCTGTCCCTGAATCCCACTTGGGGCAGAGGGCAGCAGGCTCATCTGGAGACATGTCTGTTCTGTTGACAGTGCAGGCATGCAGGCTGGTGGATGGTAGAGTCACCAGGGAAAGGAGAACAGAGCAGAGACCCTCTCCTTTCGCCCACAAACAGGTTTTAGCTCGCTTCTCACTGTTCCTCATGGTCTCAGAATATAGAAAAAAACCTATTCAGGGAAAAGGTCTTGGGCATCACAATTAAGTCTCAACATTAGGAGGTCAGGCTGGGTGTCAAGGACAGGAGAAGAAGTAGAGGATGTGGACCACGGCAAACATGCCTCCCTGGTGTTTCCAGAATGGGCTATCCTGGCCTGCAGTCACTGGACCATAGTTCTGCTCGGACCTTTGCTAGGACAAGTGAGCCAGGTACCACATGCCTTCTCTAAAAGACGAAGAATCTGAAATGGCTTTTCATGGCTTTTCTCCTAAGAACGATAGTTCATTTTACAGCATGGCCCAGCCTTTACAAGGCTCTCCGGTGAGAAAGGTGAAATGGGAGCATGGAGACACTGTCTCTAGTATTGCCAATTACGATCGGATACAAATATTAAAAAGCACCATCTGCCTCGGAGACCATTTGCCACCTGTTCTCTTGCTTCCATAACTATTTACTGGTTTAAATTTAGTGTGCTGTCTTGCCACAGAACAGCTGGGCAGTGACGATTTTCTTTGTCTCCCAGTGACTTGCCAGCCAAGCCACATACCACGTCCAGGACATCCCATGGTATCAGTATCAGTGTTGCCCATGGCCTTTCAGATGCTGGCAGCTCTCCCATTAGGCAAGTCCACAGCTTCTAGGTGACTTCTGACTACAGAGAGCCAACTGCTTGGGGGTAAAGTTGGCCCCTCTTTTATCTTATTATTTTTTAAGTGCACGAATTATTCTTTCCTCTACTATAATAAAAAAAGTGTCATAATACATATCGCAGTGTATTTCCAGAGACAAAAATTCAGAAACCTTCTGGCAATATAGTTACTGATATTCCCAAACACACGGAGGTCGCCCTGCCCAGAGGGGATCATGACTGAATATAAACAAGCAAGCAGAAGGCCCTATGTATTTATTATCTCTGACAGGGAGCTCTGTAAGAATGCCCTGAGCATGCATTCCTACCCTCTGCAGTGGGTGAACGGCAAAACTGCCTCTGTGGGGGAAAACCTGTTGCTGGGATCTCAGAGTGAGGACTGCTCACACACTGAGTGCTTCCTGCCACATTGCCCACCTCTGACCATTGTTCCCCAGAACCACCCATTCCTATTACCTTAGGAATGCATGCAACACTTGGGATCTACATTTGCGGTCTCCACCATGACTTCCTGTTCACTCTGTCTAGAAACTGAAAATATATCCTCACGCTAAAGGACTCAAGGTCTGGAGATATCGGCCTCCCTTAAAGGGGGGCTGGCAGGATACAGCTATAGATCTCTGCCCCCTGTCCCCTCCACTCCAGAGGTAATGAACCCTTGCTGTTCTTCCTCTGCAGCTTGGGCAATGCCTTCCCCACTTACAAATGTATCATTGCTGGCCAGGTGCATGCTGCCTAGTGGGGCTTGGCTGCCTTTGGAAGAAACAAGCCGCATTGAGCCATTCTTCTGTGGTTGTTTTTCTTATGCAGTCCTGTAGATGGAAGTTTCTGAC